ATAATATCATTGACTAAGTTTTTTGCGCCCAGTGTGTCAGGCACTGAGCTAGGGGCTTCCAAAGCATGGTGCCATTTGTGAATCACGTAATCCCTGTGACCGAAAGCATTGCCCCTGTGCAGATCTGGAAACCAAGGCTTTGGAGATGCCATTGAGTCCAAATTGTGTCGCTTCTTCTTAGCAGTATCCAAATCCCTGGTAAGGCCAGGGCTGCAGAGGGTTGAAGAGAAGGCTAGATGCTGTCAGTGTGGCAGGGTAGATGAGGGAGAGCTGTAGAAGAGGTAGAAGAGGGTGGTGAGGAAGGCGTGAAAGGGAATAGGCACTGAGAGAGGAAAGGAACTCCGCGGGCTGTCTGGGTCCTTGGGAGTGACAGCGCGCCCATAACCTACTCCCACTGTGTCATCATGGCTGATGCCCTTCATGCGGGTATGGGATGGGCAGTGTTCGCTGTCCTAGACAAGGTCTGGAGTCACGTAGGTGGCAAGTACCTGTGTGTGCCAGGGGAAATGTGCGAGATTATGCTGGCTCAGTTAGCTGAAGTGGGAAGACCCACACTGATGGGACTCGCCATTCCCTGGGTCTGGATCCATGGCTGTATGAAAGTAGAATGTTAACAGCACCAGCATCACCTGTGTCCCACTGCTGTGGCTTCCCCTCCATGGTAAGCTGTAACCTCTTAGCTGATGTCTCAGCACAGCAACAGGGAGGAGACTGGGGAGATTTTTGTTGCTTTGGGTTGTTCTTGTTGGTGCCCTGGTGGTTTGTTTTGATGCATCGAGTCTCTTTTGGTTGTCAGTTGGTTTGTTTGTTTTTAGTCAGTGAGGGGAGGAATCTCCTTTTGTAACCCTGGCAGAACTAGAACGTCACAGGCAGCTTACACTAACATCAAACACACAATCCTCCTGTCTCATAACCCTGGCTCAGCCTCTAGAGTGCTAGGATTGAAAGAGACATGGTGTCCAGCCTTTGATGCCTCTCTGAGTCCTGTAGGGCATCCTACCAGACAGAACACCTCCCTCTTGGTTTGGTACCTACTACAGGTTCTCTCAAAGATAAGATTATGAGATGGCCTCATCACACAGCTTCCTGGAGCTGGGAGGAATAAAATCTGCAAGGTTCTAACGTGAACGTGCCCTCGTTGTAGGGCTCCCTCTCTCTCTCTCTCTCTCTCTCTTTCTCTCTCTCTCTCTCTCTCTCTCTCGGCTTTGTGGGGAAGATTGCTCTTTTGTTTTGAGGGAACCCAGATGGAGTCTGTCTCACAGTCATAAAACATGGAAACTTGTCTGAATTTTAGGAGAAGCAACAGCTTTTTCTGCTCATGGTCAGATCCGCAGCTCGAGTGACTGCCACCGTGTACACACAGCTACAGCTGGTATTTCCTGTCACCGTGTACACACAGCTCGTATTTCACTGAGATAGCAGAAGTCGTACCTGATATTTATTGTGCAATCGATTACAGTTCTGTGTGGTAGGAGCTTGTAGTGGTCCTGAGTAGTGGTCAGGGGGAGCTTTAGGAGTTGGTGGGAGCATGAATGAAAACCCACTTTAAGGATGAGCAGAGGCTCAGAATGTGTACTAACCCAAGCAAAAGAGGCAGCTTAGTGACTCAAAATCCTTGCCAGGGGGACTGGAAGGATGGCTCAGAGGTTAAGAGCATGCTGCCCTTCCAGAGGTCCTGAGTTCAACTCCCAGCAATCATATGGTGGCTGACAACCATCTATAGTGTGAGCTGATGCCATCTTCTGGCATGCAGGTGTACATGCAGACAGAATACTGTATGCATAATAAATAAACTTTTAAAAAAAGTTCTTATTGGTCTTTAGAGTAGAGTTGGATCATAAGCTAAGGTCTCTCTATTTTTTTTTATTTTGATTTCACTTTACATTCCAACCACAGTTCTCCCACCCCTCCCCTCATGCCTCCTCAACTACCCCAGGCCACATCCTATCCACTCCTCTCAAAAGGCAGGGCTCCCATGGGGAGTCAACAAAACCTGGCACATTAAGACGAGGCAGGACCAAGTCCCTCCCCACTGCATTGAGGCTGAGCATGGCATCCCACCATAGGGAATGGGCTCCGATGAGCTAGTTCATGCACTAGGGATGGATCCTGGTCCCTGGGGCTCCTCAGATAGTCCAAGCTTCACCACTGTCTCCCACATGTAAAGGGCCCAGTTCAGTCTGTTGGAGGCTCCATGGCTGTCAGTCTAGGGTTCCCACCAGCTTAGTTCAGCTGTCTCTGTAGAGTTCTTCTTCATGATCTTGACTTCCCTTGCTCATATATTCCCTCCTTCCTCTCTTCAACTGATGATCTTCCCTTTTAATTTCTGATCTCCTGTGCTAGGGGAGCCCATTCATTTCAGCCTGTGGAATCCGTACCGTTTGTTCTGCCGGCTTCCCTGAGTAACTTGGAGTTCCACTACAGAGTTAGTGTCTGTAGGAAGGTGGAGTGTTCGTTGTTTCTTTTTCTTTTTTCCCCTCCTGAACATAAATCAAATCAACATTAACCAGGTCTGTGTCACCAGGCAACAAGCAGATTTTTTTTAAGGTTCATGGTTGGATCTATTCCTATAAAAGTTTCCCTTCTGTCATTACACATAATGTTCTAACGGCCCAAATAACTGGCTTGCTCCAGGCTGTGTGTCGGGGCTGTGTCGGAGCCATTGTAGGAGACGGTGTGTGCTCCCCTGGCAATCTGTGCCAGAAGAATTCAGTTCTCAATGGACAGCCTGCAGGCTCTGCTTTCTGTTTGGTTAGAAACCTCCCTGGGGTTAGCATCCCCAACTTGATGCTGCACAGCCCTGCACCTCTCAAGACTATCTGCGTCATATTGAAATTTCCGTAAGCTCTTGCTCACACAGTTGTCTCTGAAAGTAATCTGGTGCCGTCCACATTATGATGTGGGTGTCAATGTCTGTCCCAGTGACTGGCGATAAAACAGAAACTGATTATTTTTTCACAGGTACTTCCCTTGCCACAGTCCAGGTTTATTGTCATGTCGGTATACCTGGTTTCACGGTTTGTTCTCTAAAGTCATTTTCCCTTTAGAATTATCTTATCATAAGTGTCCAACATCTTCTTAACTCTACACATGAACTCGGAGTTTTCAAAGGAAAGAAATATGCTTATTACATGATCCTGACTGGTTGCTTTTCAGAACCAGGAGAAAATAAAACTTCAGTTTTGAACAACAGAGGACTTGCAAGGTGGCAGGAAGTTTTCAGAGGCCAGTGTGCTGTGACAGTACCGTCCTTTTTTCTGTCCTTTAACTCTTAAGAGTTTGGATTAAGTTTCAACTTGAGATGTACCGTGTTTACAGACAGGCTTTTCCAAGTGAAATCCCTGTTGCTGCCGAATTCCCGGTTACTGAAACATGACGTTCTAGAAGCGACAGTGTCCGGCAAGGAAACAGGGAAAGCGGGGCCCGGTTCTCATGCCCTCTCTGGTTACACTCAGTGAATTTTCCACAGGCGCTAAAGCTGACATCAGTGAGCATAACCTGTGAGCATCCGGGTTCCCCGTCTCCCGAGTCATGGTACATGTTGTTTTGCCCCTGTTTGTATGATATGACAATTCTCCTTCCTGGTAGAAGAAGTCACTTCAGTATTTACTGTCGAAAGGCCATTTTGTCCATGGAAATAATTTTTATTGTTCTGAGTCACTCTGCTGTGGAAATTTAGCCTGAGTTCCAGGACAAAGATGAGATGATGTGTTTACTTTGCTTTCTACCCTGTTCAGTGGTTTTGAACGCATGAATGTCAGCATTGTCAAAGTATTTCCATGTTTTTATTCATTTAGAAGCAACGTCTGTAGCGACGTCTCTTCACTGACAGCCTGTGCTGTGTACTCTGCCCAATGTGATGTGAGCTCTGGCTTCTCATTTAGCCCTGTCCATGTCTTCTTAATGGATGCTTGCCATTCTAAAGGTCGAAGAAACCTTCGGAAATATTGAAATAGCTTTTGCCAAGCTACTGGATGATATGAATTTAGTTGTAAGCCTCTGAGGGCACACACCTGTATCCCAGTATTCAGAGACAGAAGTGTGAGGGTCATGAGTTCAAGGCCAACCTGAATTACCTAGTGAAAGCTTTCTCAGAATAATTTTAAAAATTAAAAATAGAGTAAACCTCCATAGTAATGTTTACTGATGCAGCCTAGAGCAACTCCATAACAGATAAACCCTAGACCCAGCAAGTCCCTGGCCTTCTTTTCCAATAGTCTTTGAATGGACAACCGCTATTGTATTTGTTAATAATCTCTAGGGAATTAAGATTTTAAAACACATAAGTATAAATTTTAGCAACAGGACAGCTTATATTTACTGAGAAGCTTTGGCTAAATGGTATTTTAGATAATATTTCAAAGCAGACAGTGGCTGTCCTTCCTCTGAACTGAAATATCAAGTTACTGGTCACCACTGTTCTTTCCATTACTGCTCTCAGTGTGCATGATTTTGACCATCTAACTTAGGCTTAAAATTAATTTCTTGCAAGGACAAGAGAACTGGGTAGGCCTTCTGCCTTCTTGGCTTATCAGCCCCTAACAGTGCCCTAACTAGCTAACCTTCTTAGACAAGAAGAGACTATAGTATTACTCAACCTTACACTAGAAGGAAACTGAACAGAATTGTTTTGATTTTGAGACACTGTATCCCTCTATAAAGCAGGCTGGCCTTGAACTCACTGCAGCCTTCCTGAGTTGGCCTCTGACATGCTAGGGCCACAGGCATAGGCCACCACCTGCAACTCTTTAAACAAGTGCTTTATAGCAAATAATTTCTCCTCTTAGAAATGATCATGTCTGGTCCTGCTCTCGACCATATATCTATACAATATACACTTCTTATGTCCACAAGGTGGAGTGTGTGTGTGTGTGTGTGTGCGTGCATGCGCGCACGCACGCACGCCCGCCTGGGTATGTGATTGGGAGCTGGGTTGTGGAGAGTTGGCTTTCACATCAGGAAGTGGTCAGTATTAACGTGAATTATTTTATTTTCAACAGGTTGTCCTGATGAAAGAGGCGCTGGAGAAACTTCAGCTCAACATCGTGGAGATGAAAGACGAGAACGCAACCTTAGATGGTGGTGATGTCTTATTCACAGGTATACGCACATTGGTTTTCTATCCTAACACCTGACTCCCACTTGCTTGCTTCATTAACACGTTTCTTTAGTCATCAGATTCATGAATGATAAACACGAGGATCTAAAGAGGTCCAGAAAGTCACAGTGAAGACAAAATAATGGTTTCCTTTTGGAGATATAATCACTGTAATGTATAGATACATCTCATGCTTCCTTGCAATGCAGGTCCTTTGTACCAGAACATTCATGTGCTTAACTGGTGATTCTTTATAGGGATATTATTGATACGTATCGTGTTTTCTATAATTGAGTTTATAAGTTGCATAGTATTTCCATTGTGTAACTCTAGACTGGGTTTGTACTTCAAAATCCTTAATTCAAAATTAACATCATTTACAAGTAATTTCTTTCCAGATGGCAAGATGACTTCAAATGGATTTCTATGCAAATTGATTTGGCCGTGTGCCAGCATAACTCAGTGAAATATAAATGTTAGTATTATTGTTGATCTAACCACTCAGGGTGAGAACCTGAGCTCTCCTCCCCAGAACCCACAGAAAGTCAGAACCAGTATCCCACCTCTGTGGTTCCAGTGTGTCTACAGTGAGATGAGAAATGGAGATGGAAGAATCCCCAGAAGCCTGGGTGCTGGTGGGCCTGGCTTGCACAATGGTGAACAAGGGATCCCGCTTTATGCAGGGGAGTTAGTTCAAAGCCCAGCAGCACCCAAGGTTATCCTCTGATCTCCACACTTGCACCCCATTGTCGTCCCACTGACCCTCCTTCCATCTCTTCTTTAATAAAACATAAAATGTACCATTTTTTCTGTTTTTAAGTGTAAAATTCCTGAAGCATCGGTTACATTCCCAATATATGCATGTTTGCGCCTCGATTAGGCAGCACAGTAACTAACAGATCCTGTAGCGCTGTCTGCATGCTCTCTGCCTCGTCTTCCCATGAGTCAACACTTCATTAATAATTTATCAGGAAATGGACAGAAGGAGAGCTACTTTCCAATCCCACTTCCTGCTGGGAAATCTGTCACTCACAAAAGCAGCTACTGGCAAAAAGTTGTTTCCAACTCATTCCCTTGAATAGATAACATCAATTTTCCCCTTTATTTATTTATTTTGTGAAATATAGATTTCATATAACTGAGTTATGAATGTGTGTACTGTTTAAAGACCAATAATAAAATTAAAATAAGTGCTTGCATGCCCACCCTTGGCTTATAAACCAGAATCCTGCCAGGATCCAGAAACCCCATGTGGTCCCCTCATTCCGCCCCAGGAAGCCATTCTCTTTACTGTCTGAAGATCATTTCCTGATCTTTCTTTGCAGTTTGTCTCAGTATATGTATTTCTAAGTTATATTGCACTTAATGTTGCTCTTCTTGTAAGTTCCTATTGCTGCAGGTCCATGATAGGAATTCTTGTGTGATTTTTCTACTTTTGACGGAAGTTGGGAGACCCATATGTAGGGTTTTCTATGTGGAGCAGTCTTCTGTGGAAAGGGATGTGCCACCAAATGCTCATTTTACTAGTGGTGTGCAGTGTGGCTGCCGTCTTCTGGGCTCGGGGATAAGGGTTGCTCTGTAAGGCCAACACTTGGATTCTGGGTAATCAGGTGAATGCTCTCCCGCTTCAGTATGGTGATTTGAGGATTTTCCTTTTCCACCTAAACCTCTGATACTTGAGCCGCCGTGCATATCAGGGATAAAGTCAACCCATCGTTCTTCACTTCCTCGTACGGTGTTGGATTTAGTTTGCTAATATACGTAAAGCTTTTGTTTCCATGACCTATACTCTTTCTGTCCTGTTTTTCTCATCTGGTTTTGGTAGAACTGTTATATTACCCCCAAAATATTGTATTGGGGGTGCTTCATATGCTGCTGTTCTCTGGAATCAATACGACTTATATTGCATAGCCCTTTGCCTTGATAGGCAAATACATAAGCAGCTTCCTGTATTGGAGGGGAGACTTTAGCCGGATCTGCTTATGTTAATGATTATATGACTATTTAGGCTTTCCGGGGCCCATACTGGTGACTCCCATTTTCTGATCCTATCTTCTTTGCCTTTATGTCTTCAAGGTTCCCAGCCATCACAACTGCACTTCCTTCCCCTTCGCTGTGCTTGTGCCTGCCTCCCTATCCCCACCTCCAGAACTTTGTTGATTTTACTCTTCTTTTCAGAGGATAAATATTGGCTTTTGTGACCCCTTTCTCTTGTGTTTCTATTATCTCTTTGCTTTTTTCTTTTAAATGCCTATATATATATATATATATATATATGAGTATATATATGAGTATATATATATATATGAGTATATATATGAGTATATATATATATATATATGAGTTCGCATTTTATCTAACTGATTTTGAAGTGTACACTTCTCTACTGTGTGGGTTTCCCTTCAAATACTACTTGAATTGAATCCTTTGTCCTTCTCTGTTTTCTGGTTTTTGTTTTTTTGTTTAAGACAATGTCTCATGTAGTCCAAGCTAGCTTCAGCTTCACTGTATAGTTGATGATGATCTTGAATTCCCGGTCCTTCTCCTCCACTAGAATTACAGACTTGCTCTACCACATCCAGTGAGGATCTCTACTTAATATGAGTATTTCTAATGCCATTGGGTTCTAAATGTTTTCTAAATTTCTGTTACAATTTAATTGTTGATACATTATTCGATCATAACGAATTTATTTTTAATGTGGCAATTCTTAAAAGTTTGGAGACTACCAGATCTACAGTAGCCGTAGAATGGAAAGCATTTAGCTTATATCTCCTTTGTGGATTATATTCCAAATAGATCGGTTTTTTTCTTCTTAGAATTCTCAATGTAAATGCAGATCTCTAATTTAAAAAGTGGATCTGTGCCCAGGCATCAGTGGAGACTCAACCCACTGTGGGAGCTTAGTGGGAAAACATAATGGAGGAATTAGGCCATTGCCACCGAACCCCCTCATTCTCATCCCACCTCACAGAAACATCTGTGTGAAGCAATGAGCATGTGGACCCCTCTGGAAAAAGAGAAAATGTAACTGTCTTTTAGAGACATCAGTTTATTGATAATACAAAGAGTAAAGGAGCCATGTAAGTGCTAAATGCTGTTAGGGAGCCATCAACCAAACCTGGATCATAGGATTGTTGACCTGAGGAAACTTCCTTTAAGCGAATGCAGTAGGAAAGAAAAGAAAATTTGGTTATGTACTTATTTAATTACTTTTTACATTTTGTGGGGTTTTTAGATTTTTCATACAATACATTTTGATCATATCCTTTCCCTCCCCCAAAACCTCCCAGAATTATTTAATTGTCACTATTTAATGTGTTTATTTTTATTATTTTTTATTATTATGGGTGTGGTTTTTTTTTTTTTTTTTGCATGCATGTCAGTATACCACATGCAGGCCTGGTGACTACGGAGACCGTTAGAGGACATTGGCTTCCCTAGAACCATTTTGTTGATACTTCTTGAGCACAGCATCCCTGTCAAGTCTAGAAAACACTATCTCCCAACAGGCATCCTCTTCCTCAGTCTTCCAACCCATCTTCTGAGATATTCCTTGAGCCATAGGTATCGGGTTGTGTTGTATATTTATAGTCATCTTAAGAGGCAGTGAAGGAGCAGTGAGTCCCCTTGTATATCTGGACAGCAACCACCAGACATCACCAGACATTTTTTGTCTTCCCGAGTTGAACTCCATCCCCATTCAGCAACCATTACCCATTTTTACCCCTTCCCCCAACTCCTAAAAGCTTCCGTGCTGAGTTTGAAAGGTTTATTTAAGGTCAGTCATTTAGTCGGTTTTTGGAAGGAGAACAGTTGTCTCTTTGGTGGAACTCTCCCAGTAGAGAAGAGAACTCTGGGATGTCTGGAGGTCATTATTATAGGTGGAGAAACGGGGTACACCTCCGTGTCACCAACTCATTATGTTCCATCACATCTCTTACAGGCAGAGAATTTTTTGTGGGCCTTTCTAAAAGGACAAACCAGCGAGGCGCTGAAATCTTGGCTGATACTTTTAAGGTAGGTGAAGGATCGTTTATGCCTGTCTCAGAGTAATTGCTTAATGAAATATTCATGGCCCCATTGAGTCAATATGTCATGAGTAATTGTGTTTATATTTCACCCGCTTTAAAAAATTATTCTTAGTATTTGTACATTTGCTAGACGTTTTAAAGTCTATTAAATTCAAATTTCTCAATAATTAGGATCCATTGAGCTCTCTCAGGAACAAGAGAGTTAGTGTGTTCACCTCCTGGCTTTTCCTAAGGTGGAATCATCCAGACACTAGCGCATGTCCCCGACAAAATCACTTTTAGAAAATAAAACCTGGAGATGCAGATATGGCTAATAAGAAATGTGATTTTCAGATTATAATGTGTGATCTCCTCTACTGGGTGATTGCTGTGTACTGGGGACTGTGCACAGCATTTCCTGAGCTTTCCTTCAGGGTCATTTACTGCTGGTGGGTTCACCAGCATGCTTCGAAAACGGTACAAATGCACGCATGCGCGCGCGCGCGCATGCGCGCGCACACACACACGCGCGCGCACACACACACACATACACATACACATACACACGCACCTCTCCCTGTCCCAGAATCTCCTATCCCTATAAGAATGTGAGGCTCTGGCTGACCCCACAGTGACCACAAGGGACTCAAACAACCCTCCCAGAGTCACCTGCCCCACAGGCCAAGGAACTAGCAAAGTTGGTGGCAGGGTTAAACTCTGGAAGGAAACTGCTTTCTTCTTACAAGCAGTAATACCAATACCTGTGAGTCAACTCCCCTGCCTCCCCACCCTCACCCCTGGGGCAGGCCACCTTCAGAAGAGCAAGCGAGGTTCTGACAGTTGATAATCAGTCTTGGCAATTACTCCACAGTAACAGCCCACTCGTCTTTCTGTCTGCCTGTCCGCATAGGACTACGCCGTCTCCACAGTCCCTGTGGCCGATTCTTTGCATCTGAAGAGCTTCTGCAGCATGGCTGGACCCAACCTGATTGCGATAGGGTCCAGTGAATCTGCGCAGAAGGCCCTCAAGGTAAGCACAAAGCTGTGCCTCTAGGTGCAGCAGGCTGTGCCTGGCCGCAGGCTAGACACCGGGCAAGGGTGGCGAGGACTGAACAGACTGGCACCTGAGACACCCGTGGTGTGCACTGTCCGCTCTGGTATTCATAGGAGCTAAGAACCCCTGAGTGTAGAAGGGGCTCTTGAGAGGTAGATCAGTCATTCTTTATCAGGCTTCCTTACATGGCCAGGTTTCTGGACGATACGCACCAGATTTATCATTTCACTGGCGAGGGACCTTTACCGTGTTCTCTTTCCCCCAAGGAGGGGAGCTGCTACATCCGGGGCTCATGACAATATGCTTATTCTTTGTTGTGCCTATGCTGCAGCATCGTGACCGTCAAGAAAGCTGTGACTGAGAAGAACCTAGAGAGCTTGCCGCCTTCTCTTTTATTTAGAATGATAAACTTGGCACGGGAAATGCCCTCCTTTCCTGGGTGAAGCTCGAAAAGCGCAGGAAGACTGTGGCGGTCTGAGGTCCCAGAGCTCGGTCTGGAGTACAAGTCCCGGATGACGAGGGCACGGATGACACCGTTGCCATGTTGTCCCTTTGATAACACGTCTCTAGACTGCAGTTCCAGCGCTGGGAGATAATCCGCAGGCTCTGGAAGGGCAGAGATCAGGCCTTACTCTCCTTTGAGTTCCCTCCTGCCTGGCCCTTTACGGAGCCGGAATATATATATTCCTGGTTGGGGGTACGGTGGCATTGTCTCCTCTGCGCGGATAAGTCAAATGGAGTGCTTTGCCGAGGTCACAAGACTGGCACTTAGTGGTCTGGAACAGGGGCCCCTTCTTCTGAGGTGGCCCTTCATGTCAACATGCATGATTCATGTATGAACCAAAAGCCATAGATTCCTCAAGCAAAGGGAGCGAGGGCGACCTGTGTGCCCCCATATATGCCATGTATTGCTTTGCTCTTCCGTGTCTTTCCTCCTCTTCCTCAGCGAACCCAGGCGCAGCATAACGAGGAAGCAATGATTGCCTTGATCAGTTTCCCCTCTGTGGAATCTGCAGCTCGCCAGCCTTTTCCCCTTTTCCCCCTAGCTGTATATATGACAACATTCAGGTCCAGGGCTTTTAACAGCTGTCGCTGAATTGTCTGCTGGACTCGATTTCTGTCAGAATGGCTCCCTCTGCTCTCCTGTAGAGTCTGCCTTTTGTTTAGCTTCACCTGAAGAACTAAGTCGGCTTTCTGTGTATAGGAAAGATAGCATCTCCAAAGAAAGCATTTGATGAATGGTACCATCCAGGGGACCAGGGAAGATGGTATTTCTCCTTGGGGAGTAACTATGGTATCTGTCTATGAGAGCCGAGTTGGTCTGCATGTGTTTAGAATCGATTTTAAGGGAAAGGGAACTCAAACTGGCTTGAACCCTGCCTTTGTGTAAGTGAGCACAAATAACCCCTTCTAGATAAAGTAAACTAGGTCCCCTATTCCAGCATCATGACGATCACTGCCTCAGCGGGTGTCGACTGTCTGGAGAAACCGACACCGCAAAGTGGAAGGTAATATGATATAGTATGAAATTCTAATTGACTCAGAGGTCAGAGTGAAGCAGAGGGCTCCCTAATAGCTGATCAGAGAAGGCCCTCTGGGGGAAAACGGGACTAGAAGTAGGTCAAAGACAACGGGGAGCATTTGTCAGGGTGGGATTCAGTGAGCAAGGGCTCTAGGTGGGGACACAGGAGAATCTGAAACTGAGCAAAGTGTGATCAGGAGATGTGAGCTGCTTGCAGCCTCTGGCTGGAGCAGATGGAATCTACAGATGTCGTATTTAAAGATGAGGAAGAGAGAGTTGTCATGTGAAGAGTCTGGGTACCTGTACCTCTCTGAGTAGAACAATCATTCCTTCAGAGATGCTGGACCCACACTCCCCTCTCCAAACATGATACTCGTTGATATTGCAGAAGAAAAGGAACACTGAGAAGCCAGCAAAATCAAACAACCAAAAAGTGGGCTCACACCCCAATTTCCATTGTATGTCTTGATGTGTGTTCCATTTTCCTTCACCCTTCTCTTGCCATAGACAAGTTCTGTAAGATGGCATCTCTTAGAACATTCTAGGGAGACCTCATAGGCCTTCCTGCCGAACTCCTCTGAGAATGAACAATGGTGGCCATTCTTCACCTGAAACCTCCCGTGTCAGAAGCTATAAATAGCCCCCGCGAGCTCCAAGGGCACTCTGTGGAGATCATTTTTTTCCATCAGCAAATGTACGGCCTCAACCACGGGCCCGTGGAGTAGGCGAATGTCTGCCTGTCGTGTGCCTAACATCAAAAAAAATCCCCTTTTACTTTGTAGTGAGAGCATGACAAACTCAGCTGGAAAATAATGAGATTTTCCCTCAGGGAATGGTCTCGGGTCAGAAGCAGGTGGTCGGTGACATCACAGAGAGGTGACCTGAGATGCTCAGTTAGCTGAGAACAGCTTGGTTCCTGTGTAAGGCTGCCAACAAACCTGAGAAAGGGCAAGCCCTCCTGCTGACAAGGGATGTGCAGGAAGAACGACAGAAACCCGTGTCAGCTACAAAAACAGAAGCATTGCCGGGGTGATGGTCCCCACATCTTAGGTGAAATACTGAGGTTGGATGAAATAAATATTTTGAGTTGTATCTTAGGTCTCGGGGATGTAATTTCCTGGGTCTTGAATCTCCTTCCCTTGATGCCCCACTGTGTTCATCAGCCTGCAGGTGCCATGAACAAATGCCTCATATAAATCAGCTCAAAAGGACTAGCAAGGGTTCAGCGGCTTCTGTCCACGGTCACTGGACCTATGCCAAGCCAGTACCATGAAGAGGAGCACACAGTGCAACACAGCCACTCACCTCAGGGCAGTAGGGCACTGGGGGGCTGAGGACCCACGATCTCCCACAAAAGCACTGTCTTAAAGTGATACAGGATACTCCCACTGGGCCCCACACCCTAAAAGTTCCACCCCTTCCCTGTGGTGCCACAGGCTGGCAGTCAAGTCTCTGACACATGAGCCTTTGGGGGACACCCAGAATCAAAGCACAGCTCCTGACCTACTCCATGGCCAACTTTTTTTACTTTATTTTTATTGGGTTTATTGAGCTCTACATTTTTCTCTGCTCCCCTCTCTTTCTCTCCCCTCCCCCACAACCCTTTCCCATGGTCTTCATGCTCCCAATTTACTCAGGAGATCTTGTCTTTTTCTACTTCCCATGTAGATTAGATCCATGTATGTCTCTCTTAGTGTCCTCATTGTTGTCTAGGTTCTCTGGGATTGTGAATTGTAGACTGGTTTTCTTTGCTTTATGTTTAAAAACCACTTATGAGTGAGTACATATGATAATTGTCTCTCTGGGTCTAGGTTACCTCACTCAATATGATGTTTTCTAGCTCCATCCATTTGCCTGCAAATTTTAAGATGTCATTATTCTTTTCTGCTGTGTAGTACTCCATTGTGTAAATGTACCACATTTTCCTTTTCCATTTTTCTGTCAAGGGACATTTAGGTTGTTTCCAGGTTCTGGTTATGACAAACAATGCTGCTATGAGCATAACTGAGCACATGTCATCTCTCTCTCTCTGCCTCTCTGTTCTTATCCATCTCAAAGAGGGAGCGTCTGTCTCTCCCTTCTCTTCTCTCTCTCTCCCTCCTTCCCTTGCTCCCTCTCCAAGATGGAGAGATAGATAAGAGAGAGAGACTAAGGCTGCAAGCAGGAAGGAAGACCTGCCTGCCTCAGGGGACAGGGAGGGAATGGGTGTGGCTTGGCTCTTAAAGAGACAGAACAATCATTACACCTACAACCTCTCCAGCATAAGTTGTCATCAGTGTTTTTAATCTTGGCCATTTTTACAGGTGTAAGATGGAATCTCAGAGCTGTTTTGATTTGCATTTCTCTGATGACTAAGGATGTTGAATATTTCCTTAAGTGTCTTTCAGCCATTTTAGATTCCTCTGTTCAGAGTTCTCTGTTTAGGTCTCTACTCCATTTTTTATTGAATTATTTGTTCTTTTGATGACCAATTTCTTGAGTTCTTTGTATATTTTGGAGATCAGACCTCTGTCTGATGTGGGGTTAGTGAAGATCTTTTCCCATTCTGTTGGCTACCACTTTGTTTTGTTGACCATGCCCTTTGCTTTACAGAAGCTTTTCAGTTTCAGGAAGTCCCATTTATTAATTATTTCTTTCAGTGTCTGTGCTACTGGGGTTATATTTAGGAAGTGGTCTCCTGTGCCAGTGAGTTCAAGTGTACTTCCCACTTTCTCTTCTATGAGGTTCAGTGTGGCTGGCTTTATGTTGAGGTCTTTGATCCATTTGGACTTGAGTTTTATGCATGCTGATAGATATGAATCTATTTTCATTCTTTTACATGTTGATATCCAGTTATGCCAGCACCATTTATTAAATATACTTTCTCTTTTATTTGATATTTTTTGCTTCTTTGTCAAAAATCAGGTGTTCAAAAGTGTGTGGATTAATATCCGGGTCTTCTATTCGATTCCATTGGTCCTCCTGTCTGTTCTTATGCTGATACCAGGTTGTCTTCAGTACTGTAGCTCTATAGTAGAGCTTGATCAGTGGCCATTCTTTTTCTACTGGAAAACCTTTTCTATCTTTTTCACCAGAAATTGGTTCTGCCAATCTTCCTAGCCTCTCCTTTCTCCAATTATTTACTACTATGTACGTATGTATGTATGTATGCATGCATGCATGCATGCATGTACATACTTGCTTTTTCCAGTATCCAGAATTTGACTAGTTTCAGAGAAGGTGTGAATTTGGCTCCAAGTACCATTTTCCTCACCAACCTTGTTGTCTCCATTATTGTCTTGGTGAAGAAGCCATGGTCACTTGGACATTTCTTTAAAGGACGTATCATTCAAACAGAAGTGGATCATACACACCAAAAACTTTCCTCTCTGATATGTTTCCTTCTGAGTCGGAAACCTCTTTTTTACATATTTATGAAAAGCTGAGACCCCAGGCATTTGTGAAATATATCTGA